GGTACTGTTTTATAGAGTTATATTTCTTTTTTGGGTGGATGTCGACCGAGTTTAACACTCGACAAAACCTCAGATCCAACCCAATGTGGCCCGTGTCGACTAGGGTACTTCAAACCCAATCTTGAATGACTATTACCAATGGTTTCTACGCCATTTTTGCATTTCATTCACGTGACGGAGTGGTCAGCATTATATGACAGAGGCTTTGACTCGAACAAATAACGAGGTGTGATTGGGCAATACAAAATATTCTAAATTGGTTAAGTTATCTTAAATTGGTTTTTTACGTTATAGTAAAATACCACTGATTTACGAAACATTCACGAAACACTGGATTAAAGTATACTCAGCGTGAGTTGAAGGATTTTGAAACGCACAAATTCAGGTTCTTGGGGCGTCAAATGCATGCCGAAAATGGCGATATCGTCTCAAGTTGGCAGGTGCGTCATTCTTAGTGTCCAAGGACTGGCTAACGTCAAGCGTACGAATACAACATTGCGTGAACTACTGTGGTGGCTTATGCATGTGAAAGGTGTACCCATCTACGACTAACGTTAAGGCAAAAACGGTTTCTTATACCAACAGCTACCCAATACGCGTTAATGGTACAGTATGGACCAGGAGCCACGATGGTGTTAGCTTGGGGGCGTTATGGAAGGCTGCCTCTCCTCCATCTCTCCACCGTAAGCTTAGAGCAACTCGCATTCCTCTCACCTCCATTCGCCATACCGTACTCGTCGAACTCGCCGTGCCTCACTCATGGGAATAGGATAAAAACGTGTGGCCATTTGACTTTTACTGGTGGTCACCGAAAATGTCATGTATTGTTGGTTTGCTCGTGGTTAATCTGTGGAACTTACTGTTAACGAGAATTGCTTGGGCATATCTGGCCTTATACGTATCGACGCGTAGGCATTCGAACTGTATGACCATCACAAAGTACACTCTAACACGGTTATAATACCTTCGCAAAGATATAGGGCGTTTGCTTGTTTTACGTTAGCTATGATGGAGTGATAATACACTTACTGGGCTTCTCGACTATGAAGCAACAACCCAGTAATGCCCACTAAGTAAAACTCCACCGCACCATTTAACCACGAGTGAAGCCTCACGTCTAACTCTACCTGAAAATCCATGAGCAAAACCCCAAAACACCACTAGTGAAAAACTACCTCCCCTACTCATAAGCATATACAGTATACATCGAAGTAGTGTAACGTAAAAAACCAATTTAAGATAACTCTTTTGGAGGCAATGGACATAACTTTTGAGTCCGTTACGATATTTGAGTTTACTGTTAGTGATTCCAATGGAAAAGACGCTCCGCTTTCAGTTCATAATCGAATTATCAGTTTAGACGAAGAACATCACAGGTAAATTTGTTACTTTCTAAGCATTTGTACTCACATTTTGAAAACCAATTTGGATAACTTTTTTATCTTAAAGTATGTATGTGTGGGAACATTGAAATTCTGTGTTAGGGTAAGCGGTTACAACAGGTTGCATATAATTTATACAAGGGTACTGTTTTATAGAGTTATATTTCTTTTTTGGGTGGATGTCGACCGAGTTTAACACTCGACAAAACCTCAGATCCAACCCAATGTGGCCCGTGTCGACTAGGGTACTTCAAACCCAAT